ACCGCAGGCGAACCCCCCCCCCCGGCGGCCCCCAGCCCTTCCCACCGCGGGCAACCCCCCCCCCCAGGCAGCCCCCTGCCCCCGTGGCGGGGCCGTTACCCGTGGCCCCGGACTGGGTGATGATGGCCGACATGGGGATGGTTTTGATGATGGTGGTGGTGCCCGGCTTGGTGGTGCTGGGCGAGACGCTGCTGATGCCCAGGATGGTGGGCTTGGGGCCGGCGCCGCCTGCCTGTGTGGTGGTGATGATGGTGGTGGGCTTCCCGTCCGCTGACGTCACCAGCTTCAGGATGGTGCCCGCTGGCAGGGGGCCCTTGGTCTAGGGGAGCACGGGGCAGGCAAGAAAGGGTTAATGCAGCTTGGCACCCCCAGAGAGCAGAGCGCTCCGGACTCCTGGGTTCTACTGAGAAGGGGGGAGCGGGGGTCTGGGAGCCAGGACTCCTGGGTTCTCTCCCCGGCTCTGGGAGGGGAATGGGGTCTGGTGGTTAGAGCAGGGGGGTCTGGGAGCCAGGACTCCTGGGTTCTCTCCCCGGCTCTGGGAGGGGAATGGGGTCTGGTGGTTAGAGCAGGGGGGGCTGGGAGCGGAGTGGGGGCTGATGGTTAGAGCAGGGGGGGCTGGGAGCCCGGACTCCTGGGTCCCATTCCCAGCGCTGCCCCCCAGTCCGAGGAAATGCTCACCTGGATGATCTGGGTGACGGGGCCGCTGGACGCCTGGCCGGTCACGGCCGAGGTCTGCACCGGCTTGGTCTGCACGACCGACATCACTTTGCCGAGGTTAGAGATCTGCCAGGGGAAAGAGAGTGAACAGTGCCCCCCCATACCCCGCCCCATGGCATTCTGGGAGGGAGGCACCTCCCACCTGCCTCCCAGCACAGCCACACAGCTCGCGCCCCAAACATCTGGCACAGCTGGACCCCACCCTGCAGCAGGCGAGCTGGGGCCCTTGGGAGACCTGGCGCCTGCCAGGTATCATGGGGCACCCCTCAGCTCTGGGAGAGGATGGGCCTAGTGGTTAGAGCAGGAGGGGCTGGGAGCCAGGACGCCTGGGTTCTCTCCCCGGCTCTGGGAGGGGCAGTAGAGTCTGGTGGGGTACAGCAGGGGGGCTGGGAGCCCGGACTCCTGGGTTCTCTCCCCGGTGCTGGGAGGGGCAGTAGAGTCTGGTGGGGTACAGCAGGGGGGCTGGGAGCCCGGACTCCTGGGTTCTCTCCCCGGTGCTGGGAGGGGCAGTAGAGTCTGGTGGGGTACAGCA